TGATCCCACAACCGTGAGATCATGACCTGAGCTGAAATCAGGAGTCAAAAATCAGACGCTTGACAGACTAAGCCACCCAGACACCCCAATGTTCTTTCTTTTAAAGCTCTATTATTAACAATTCTTTCAACAGAGAATAAATGCTTCAGTCAATAGTTTAATAATTTGACTGTCAGATCAAGCATATCATCCTATATTTCTGTGAAATTTTTCCTAAGGCATTTTAAGTGTGAATTGTATATATACCTATACAGAGAAACTCCCTTACCCACCCCCCCCATGTTAAGTAGCATTTTAAACAACTAGTATAAAAATATAAAAAATAAACAACTAGTATAAGTCAAGACACCAGTAATCTCTTAATACTTTGTTCCCCATATGCAGAGATTTGTTTCCAACTGCATATTACATACCTGTCAAATTCAAAGTATTAGTTGCAACCATTCAAAACCCTTTTTTAATGTGAACTATCAACCTTTTCTCAATAATGAACAGTTTCAGCTGCTTTATTTAGTTTTTCCAAGTTTCCAAGGCAGGTGTCTTGAAAATTAACTATGTCAGAGGTAATATTTCCCATTTGCTTACTTACTTTGTTTATTCTAAGTCAGAGGTAATTTTTACATTTGCATTGCTAATATTCTTCAAAGTAAATAGAATCTTTGATTGATATTGAAATTTAGGTTTCTCAGGGAAGCAATTACTGGCATGGATTTTGTACTCCAATGGTATACCGAGTAGAAGAATGAGAATGGTTATAAGCCAGTTATTCTTTGAACAAGTCGACTCACCCCACAATGCAGATAAATGGAATGTGTGTGTGTGTGTGTGCTCATGGTATGAGTTTATCGCCACTTAGACCATTAGTATTATTTTCTACTCTGACCTGAAACAATATGCAAATAAATGCACATAATTTATTTTCCAATGGGAAGGTAGAGTGATGTTTTGATAATTGGCTCTTAAACATCACATATAATATTCTGATTTCCTAAGCTAATTACCTAACCCCAATACTCATTTTTTATCACTTCTGAGTAGCTCTGTACATTTTGAGTCATGAACATTTTCTTAAAACTCTATATTTCTGTTTAGTTTTCCTGTGACTGCATTATTTAAGTGTTCTTCTTGTACCAACTCTTCCTCTTTTTCTCAATAGTCTCTCTTAAACTACGTGATCATCTCTTTTGTCTCTAAATATTCCCCTACCTTGGATTTCAGTGATGCTCTTTTTATAAATGACTCTCAAATCATTATCAACAGTCCTATTGTCTTTCCCAAGATTCTTTTCCATGTGTGTAACTGTTTGCCTATATGCCTGAAAATATTGTTATCTCCCCCTCTCCAAACTGGTAAACCTTCTAAACTTCTCTAACTCTTTGTAGGATACTCTTAACTTCCTAAGGGGCTAATCAAATGTTAAGATTCATTTATTTCTTCCCTTTTTTTGATCTTGTATCTGATCACAAATTGTTGTTGATTCATATTAGAATGTCCCCAGTCTCCATTGTTGGACTTTTTTCACTGTCTACATTCACTACTCTAGTGTTGACCTCTATTTAAAGTTCTGTGCCTTTGGGGCGCCTAAGTGGCTCAGTCGGTTAAGCATCTGACTCTTGATTTTGCCTCAGGTCCTGATCTCATGGTTCAGGAGTTCCAGCCCCACATCAGGATCCATGCTGACTGTCTGGAGCCTACGTGGGATTCTCTCTTTCTCCCTCTCTCTCTTCCCCTTCCCTGCTCATGCTCATGCTCTCTCTCTCTCTCTTTCTCTCTCAAAAATAAATTAATAAACTTAACAAAAAACAATTAAAAATAATAAAGTCCCGTGCCTTTAAATAGCATCTTTATGCTAAAATTCCAACATGTCCAGTCAAAACTACTTATTTGTAGTCTAAATTTTTATTTTCCACTGCCCACTGGACATTTCTGCTTGGAAATATAGTAGATATCTTCAACTTAACATGTCTAAGACTGAACTCCTAATCTTTCCCATCAAACCAATGGCAACTCCATTCTTTTTTTACTTGAATTAAAATTTTAGATTTGTTCTTGTTCTTCTCTTCCTCTTATCTCCGACATCAAATCTTATACAGAATGATCCCGATGCCTCTACTTTCAAAATATGTCCAGAATCTGATGACTTGCCATATCTCCACTGCTGTCATCCTGGTTCATCTTTTGCCTGACTTACTGCGTTGTCTCATTTCAGTCTGTTCTCAGCGTGGCAACTGTAATGATCCTGTTTAAAGATAGGTCATATTCAGTTTCTGCTCAAAACCTCTAATGGGTTAAAATCACTCAAATCAAGGGCACTTGGGTGGCTCAGCTGGTTAAGCAGTCAATTTCGACTCAGGTCATGATCTCATGGTTCATGAGTTCGAGCCCCACATGGGGCTCTGTGCTGTCAGCATGGAGCCTGCTTTGGATCCTCTGTCCCCCTTTCTCTCTGCCCCTCCCCTGCTCACATTTTTTTCTCTCTCTCTCCCTCCCTCTCTCTCTCAAAAATAAACAAACATTAAAAACAATTAAAATCACTTAGATCAACTGCCAAAAATCTTTACAAAGTGACACAAGGCCCCCGTGATTTTCCTCCTTCCTCCAGGTGTCTCTGATCTCCTCCATTGCCTGCTTCACTCCAAGCACCCTCTTCTCCCTGCTGTTGTGAACATGTCAGACTGACTCCTATCTTGGGGTCTTTGCACTTGTCTTGGAACAACTCCTCTCTCTCTGTCCACTTGGCAAAGCATCTAACTTCCTTCAACTCTTTCTGAAATGTCAACTTCTCACTGAGTCCCATCTACACCTGACAACGCTACATAAAATTGCAAAACGTTTCCCTGTTCTGGCATTTTGATCTCCCTTTACTCTGTTCTGTTTTCCTCTTAGCACTTTACCACCTCAAACATATCACATAATTATTTATTGGGATTTTTATTGTTTCCATCACTCCAACTGAAGCGTCAGCTCTACAAGGTCAAGGCTTTTAGTTTTGCTCACTACAGCACACAGAACAGCATCTGGCCTGTACAGTCATAAATACTTGTTGAATGAATGAATGAATGTCCTGATTTTTTCGGTGTGGTCTGTTGCCATCTCCAGTTGTCTTACTCCAGAGTTGTACTGCTAGCTGTACGTAGCTAATTTAATTGAAATTGATTCAACATAAATACATTAAAAATTCAATTCTTCATTAACCCAAACCAGATTTCAAGTGTTCAATAGTCACGAGTGCCTAGTGGCTACTGTATGGGACAGTGCTGATCGAGAACATCTTTACCATTCCAGAGAGTTCTGTTGGACAGTCTATTCTATGTTTTCTAAGATCAATTAATCTTGCTGCAATCTCTCTAACCTTGGGTTTGAATTGTGTACTGCTGTCAGCTTCATATTCCTAAATGATTACTTAGATCATGAAAGATGAATGTGGTATTAGAGCCCAGAGAGAGCCTCGAAGT